GTATAGACTGCATTGTGTTCACCACCAAAAGTCTAGTTGCCATCTGTTGCTACACCTGTGCCCCTTTACCCCTTTCACCCTCCCCCCACCCTTTCCCCTCTGGTAACCATCAACCTGTTGTCTGTATGTGTGTGTGTTTGCATGTTTATCTTCCACGTATGAATGAAGTCATAGGGTAATTGTCTTTGCCCAACTTATTTTGCTTAGCATAATGCCCTCAAGGTCCGACCATGTTGTCGCAGATGGCATGATTTTGTCTTTTTTAAGGCTAAGTAGTATTCCACCGTATATATATACCACAGCTTCTTTATCCATTCATCTGTTGATGGGCACTTGACTTGTCATTATTTTGTAAACATTTTAAAATATAAACTCATATAGGAAGTTTCAAAAATAGTATATAGAGTTCTATGAACCCTTCTCTTAGCTTCTCCCAATGGTAAGATCTTCTATAATATGTAATAGTAAGACCAGGAAATTGACATTGATACCATACAGTAATCCAGACCACAGACCTTATTCAATTTCCCCCAGTTTTGCATGCATTTATGTGTGTGCTTGTGTAGTTCTCTGCAGTTTAATCCCATGTATAGATTCACAAAACCAATCACAGCCAAGATGCAGACTGTTCATCACCACAGAGGAACCCCGCTGTGCTACCCTTTTATAGTGACATCCTGTCCTCTCTGTACCTGTCCCCTGGCAATCACTGATCTGTTCTCTCTAGTTTTGTTATTTCAAGAATGTTATATAAATGGAAATATACAGTTGGTAAATAGAATTTCAAGATTGACTTTTTTAACTGCATAAAATGCCCTTGAGCTCCACCCAAGTTTGTACGTATCAGTGGTTGGTTCCTTTTTATTTTTATTTATTTTTTTTGAGGAAGATTAGCCCTGAGCTAACTGCTGCCAATCCTCCTCTTTTTGCTGAGGAAGACTGGCCCTGAGCTAACATCCATGCCCATCTTTCTCTACTTTATACGTGGGACGCCTACCACAGCATGGCTTGCCAAGGGCGCCATGTCCGCACCTGGGATCCCAACTGGCAAACCCCGGGCCGCCGAAGTGGAACGTGTGCACTTAACCGCTGCACCACCGGCCGGCCCCTGTTCCTTTTTATTAAGTAGTATTCCATTGTATTTTCTACATCAGTATTTTTTGGGGGGTGAAGATTGGCCCCAAACTAACATCTGTGCCCATCTTCCTTTATTTTTGGTATGTGGGACGCTGCCACAGCATGGTGTGACAAGCAGTGTGTAGCTCTGCACCCAGGATCCAAACCCATGAACCCCGGGCTGTCGAAGTGGAGTGTGCGAACTTAACCACTACTCCACTGGGCTAGCCCTTACATCCATATTTTTTAAATATCAAAATTTAATCTTTTTATGTATCTATTATAGAATTTGAGCAATGGATAGGTGGGTTCAATAGGTTACCAATCCAAGATTCCTTTGTAGGAGTATTTACTTTTCACATTTCAAATCATACACTATTTATAGCATGTAGTTAAAATTTTCTACTTTTGAGAGAACCTGACTTTATGCCAATTTTAAAAGGAATAAGGCTTGTCTTAAAAAGCTTCTGCATGGCAATCCACTAACTGGGAGAAAATATTTGCAAATCATATATCTGACAAGGGGTTAATTTCAAAAATACATAAAGCACTCATATGACTCAACAACAAAAAAATGAACCACCTGATCAAAAAATGGGCATTCAAGAATGAAACGGGATGACCAGGTATGAGGGCTTTACTTTTATTAGAAAGTTATTTTCCCTCCCTGAGGCCATTTCACCAAGCACCGTGTCTGCAATTCCTTTAGTGAGATATGGTGAAAGTAATCTCCGCTAGCAGGTGAAATCTGCCTCGGGAGCGAATTCTGCGTAATCCCACTGAGATGTGTAGTCATCGGCACCAAGTTATGGATATTCATCTCTGTCAGTGGATGGCTCCTTAGGAAACTCTATTTTCAGGACTACGTGTTTACATTGCTGAGACAGAGGAGATGCAAGATCAAAGAGCCCTGTGGCTGAGCATGGAGTTGGCAGAACCTCCAGGCTTGCCATGGGAAGTGTGGGATGGGGAATGAGGACAAAGTGGCAAAAGCACTTGGCCACTGACAGAAGTTTCTCGGTGAAATGGAAATTGCCCAAAGGTTGGAAAATAAGGGAGCAGCATCTCCAAGCAAATAAGTTTAAGTTGTGCATTAGGGACTGAAGACACGCGTGCCTGACCAGGGCTAAAGAAGGCAGGAAGAGCAGGCAGTTGCTGGCAGGAGGTGCCACAGTATGGTCAAAGAGCCTGGAAGCTCCTCTGCCCCATGCTTTGGTTGTAGGGATGGCAAGAGAGGGGGCTTGTGTATGAGAAGTGTCCCTTCAACTTTGTGACACTGTTCAGAGCGCAATGCCTAATCACTTTCTGTAGTTTTTCCTTATGTCGTAGATCCCTCCTACCAGTTTAACCCAGGGGCCGGCCCCGTGGCTGGGTGGTTAATTTCGTGCACTCCGCTTCGGCGGCCCAGGGTTTCACCACTTCAGATCCTGGGCACGGACATGGCACCGCTCATCAGGCCCTGCTGAGGCGGTGTCCCACATGCCACAACTAGAAGGACCCACCACTAAAAATAAACAACTATGTACCGGGGGGCTTAGGGGAGAAAAAGGAAAAATAAAAAATCTTTAAAAAAAACAAACCAGTTTAACCCATTTCATTCTTTCTTTTTACAGTCATGCTCCACATGACGTTTTGGTCAACGACAGTATACACAACAGTGGTCCCATAAGATTGATTAGTACCATATAGCCTAGGTGTGTTAATAGGCCACACAATTTAGGTTTGTGTGAGTACACTTTATGATGTTCGAACAATGATGAAATTGCCTGATGATGTATTTCTGAGAACATATGCCCATCGTTAAGTGACACACGGCTGAATTGACAATTACTAAATTACCGTTCTACAGCAAACAGCTGCAGTGCACTAGCAGTAGAGCCCGGTGCCTAGCCACAGGGACTGTGGAGGCAGGAGGACCTGGCTTCAAATCTTGGCTCAGCCACTTGCTACTAGTGTAACCTGGCTTCTCTGGTCCTCAAGTCTCTTCGTCTGTAAAATGGAGATAATTGAATTTAGGATTGTTGGAAGGATTGAATGAATTAATACATGTAAAGCACTGAAATGTTAGCTATTATCATTGAATATTTAGTCATATGGACGTGCCACATTTTAACCATTAAGCACTTAAGGTCTTTTTTGTTTTTGCCCATTTCTTTATGTTTCTGTCCTTTGACATACAGAAGTGGTACCCTTAAGTTTTTCTGCAAGATTTCTGGATTAGTAAATTCTAAAAAAAATTTAAAAAAAAAGCATTCAATTCAGTCACCCATGGATACAAAAATGAAAAAGGCTGACATTTCCAGAGGAAACAATGCAGCTTTCTTTTTTCCATTTGGGATTCTCTTTCTATTCCTTTGGCTGGGAAGTTTGTCTTCTTTCTGTCAGAGCATTTAAGGTTGTTGTAGGGATCATTAATGAGGGTAGAGTAGAAAATCAGGTTTCCTTTGGAAAAGGGGAGCCAATTAGCACAAAAGGTCTGACATTATCTGAGCCCCTGGGAGGAGAGCAGGAGCTACCCCTTTACAAAGGGTTGCGTCTGTTTTTGGGGAAAAATGCCCGGAGACCTTTCTGTGGTCCTTGACAACTCCAGTCCCGGTGTCCAAGACAAAGGCGGCTTCTCCAGTAGGGCCTGGTTTCTGTGATGGTGACACAGACATGCAGCATCGCTGCAGGCGGTGAGCTCACTCATCCTGGACTGAGGATGAGACTGACACAGGCCCTCTTCTATTTCTATTGCCTTTCCAAAATCTCTGAATCTTTACCCTTATCCTTTCCTTCTTCCTCCATTTGTAAATGTCTTTCTCCCAGTGTAAGTGGAAGAAAGGCAAGCTTTGAAGTTATAAAACAGGAAGTCCTGGCATGGCCCTTATCCAGTTTAATGAACATGGGCTAGATGCTAAGTCTTCCCAACCCATCTCCTCGCCTACAGGTGACGCCCATCACTACCTGAGAGCCAGGTGTTTGCAGCTTGCTTGGCCACACAGGTGCTCCTCCAGTGGCAGGTCATCTTGATACAAGTCCTACAGATCTGCTCTTCAGTCTGTCTGCTTTGCCCTAGAAATATGTTCTTGTCCTTACTCTTCATTTCAGATCTAACTTTGAGCTGGAAACCTGGTTCCTTCTAGAAGTTACAGAAATACCTCAGGGTGTCCAAGATCTAATTCATCTTTATTTTCCCATAAACAAGCTCCTTTTGTGCATCTCCTTTTTTATCAATAAGAAATTGTTTAGTGGGTTTGTTCTCGTACCCATCAGCTTTTTGTCTCAGAATTGGTGAAACAGGAATTCCTACCCCAGGACAGCCTTTCTCAGGTCGGTACATGTGAGTGGCTGTGCACATATATTCATAGTCACCAAAGATGAATAAAGTATTAGTGAAAAGCCCATAATTTCAACAGTGGTAAAATTGAGGAATGTATGGAATCTTCAAACTAATTTTTCATAAAGAAAAATTTGTAGCAGCCAATTTATGGTTGTGGTTACAGAGGATCTGTGTCACTAAGGAACACGGGACAGATGGAGAAAGCAGGGAATGTAGTGTCCTGCTGAGTTCAAGGACTGCACGGAGCCAACCCCAGGGAGGCAGCAGCAGGCAGTGGAGTCAGGTCAGGCAGGTAACCAGGATCATCAGGATTGTCCAACGTTAAACATTAGAGAAAGTGTAGATGTGAAATAAATTACAATGAAGCTATTTCCTTATTAAGTGGAAGCATAAATAAGCAGTAATTTCCTTTAACATTATGAGTTCATTACTACCAGAATGGTTGTATCCATAGCAGCAGCAGCGGTCAACTGATAAATGAGTTCTTCTGAATTGTCCTGTCTTCTGGTAATTGGAGAGTCATGGAAACTGGCAGTATAAATGAAGAAAGACTTAAGACACATTTAGAGAAACAAATGAAACATTTTGATTATTTTATTTTTTAATCTTCAAAATTTTCTGCCATGAGACAGGAATGCATGATAGAAATGGCTCAACATTCACATGAAACACTTGGATTCATTTTCATTCACAAGTTTTTCTAAAAACACCTACAATTTCATAATCCCACCCACTTCCAACAATTATCACAGATTTAATTGACTGTTAAACAGTAGTTGCCAGCAATAGAGCACTGGAACGCTTTCTGCATATTAGTAGTGTCTTTTGAAACTACCACCCAAGAGTATCACGATTATAAATCACTGTACACAGCAACCCCAAAGGTAACTGATGTCCCAAAATAAACTCCCTGCTTCTTAGGGAGAGCTGTATCCCTCACTTAAAGAAATGCTTTTTTTTTTCTCCTAGAACTACTTTTCATCTCATAGTATTTTTCTTGCAGGGAGTAGCACATGCTGACCTGATGATTTAACCACCGCTGCTAATAGGCAGATACATATGCCTGATGCTTACTGATGCTCTCTGCTAATTATGTACAGAACATACTGAAAAAAGATGGGTTGCTTGGAATCTCTCTCTCTTCTTTTGAAGAGAACTATGTTGAGGTTTTTTTTTTTGAACAGTTGTAAACAAAAGGAAAGAGATATACATGGACATATATCTATACACATAGAGATTATACACTGAGTATTTTCAATGTGGCGCGTATCTTCTTATATAGAGATACACACAAACACAGAGTAAGGGTCTGCACTCACCTCTTCACACATACCCACACCCTTACATACAGCATGTGAATATAAACGTTGTGGGTGTCCTAGGGAGTTCACTGGAGTTTGTCTATTACCAAATGATGATGAAATACCTGATTTGTATTACTCCTGAGAAGATACTAGAAGGGAATGACAGTTCTGATGCACTCTGGAATGGCACAATCACGTAAACACTTGCATACTTAAGACTTCTGAACTCATCCAAAGTTTCTAAACATCTAACCAAAAAAAAGGATATCAAAACAATGCAGCAAGTTAAAAAATAAACCAGAAAGTTTTTTTTATAATCAAAGTATAAACAAATATATAGGAAATGCATATTTGTCAGTAATTATTTTTAAAGTAGGAAACATGTACTTAAGAAAAACATAGTCATCTGATAAAACTTAAAAAAACAACTATCCAATGCATAATACATGCATTGCCCAAAATAGCAGAGGATAGCCACATTAGAATTGCAAGGCTTATAGCAACTCCACCAGAGAAAAATTACCATATATAGCAAGTCTATTAAGTATGCAATTTATAAAAAATTACTGTGACTGTTATTCACACTTCTGTAAAAAAGAATTTGCAATTTGCTGAGTATCTTATCCCTCAATAGAATTAATCCGTATAAAAATTACAACTAAACCACTGAATTTCAAGCACCAATTCAATCATTTAAACTAACTGTATTTATATTTCTCCTATTATTGAGGGAACAAATAATGATGAAGGCTAAGCTAAAATTAGCCAAGTAATTATTACAGTCTAGTTTTATAGGCATGCGGTCTTTTTCCTTCCATTCACTTGAATGCCAAACATTAGAAAATGTTTAGGCCAGTAAAGGAATCCTTGCAGGAATCCATTATTTCTGAGTATCAATGGTTTAATATACATTAAAAGCTCTTTAACAAACCACTGCTTTCTTAGTTCTAAGATAGAACAGATTTGCACACAAAAAATTACGGGACTGTTCCTCACCCTGACTTAGGAAAGGCAGCACCTAGACAGTAAACTAACAAGCACACCTGGACAGCTATCGGTAGTGTGAGAAACGGCACTGGTATTCAAGAAGGCAACACCATTGCTCATGGCAATACTGAAGTTTTTCTTAACTAAAAAATTTCCACTAGACATTTGGGATGGGAGGGTATCTCAGTAAGAGAGCTAGCTTTTTTTTTTTTTTCTGATTTCTTTTTCTGCCTCAGGAAAAACAAAGTAGCACAGTCTGAGCCAGTAGATGAGTAACAGTGTTTGTGGTGCCTCTCGTTGTTCCTGAAGAAAATATGTTCAGATAACAAGGGGTTTATCGTAAATCTATACAACTGCCGCTTTTGTTCCAGTATTTACACCATACCACTTACACACACAGTAATTTCTGAGACATAATTAATGCTTCAGTCTTTTCCTACTATTAAGTTTGGTTAATTTTCAACACACACCAAACTGAACCTTTAGGCCAGCTGCATTTGAGACGGAAGATAAGACTACTGAAGAAAACAAATCATGTGGAAACCAAAATCTTGATCAATAGTCATTCTCCATCACTTCCCGGCCTGTTATCTGAACTCTATCACAAGATCACATGCAGTTGAAAGAGAAAAGATCGTCGCACTGAAGGCCTGGTGTTAGGATAGGGGTGCAGGATCTTGCTGGTCCTCGGTAACAGCAGCTTCACTCTGCTCCTCGCTTATCGCATTGGCTGGCTCTTCATAAACAGGCTCACCAAGGTCTTCGCTGCCCCCTTCACTCTGCTCCTCGCTGTGGTCCTCACTGGGCTCCACAGTCTGTTCCAGGCTATTCTCCAGAAGCGTGGGAGAATTGCTTATTCTACTTTCTTCTTCAGCTGTCTCATTTAAGGGCTGGGAAGGAGGCAGTGTGGGAGTCTCAGACGGCATGACACTTTCACGGGAAGAGATGGGGGCTTTGGTTAGAGTAGTATCTGCTGCAATCTCATTCTGAGGCAAAGATAACTTTTCCACAAGTTTCCACTGGATGATGCTCATGTCTTTTCCACCAGTTGAAATCAGGTGACTGTCACTGTGAGTAAAACTCACATTGGTGACATGGCTGCTGTGGGCACTGTACTTGTGACTGGGAGCCTATATGAAATAAATCAGACAGGAAAATTACTCATTCTTTTCAGCAGTGCAGTGCATCAGCTTCTGAACAGGTAACTCGAATCAAAGCCACACGTCATCAGATCTGAGGAATAAAGTTAGCAGTAATTTCCTTTTAATACATAGCTATTTATATGGGAGAAACAAAACAGAATAATGGGACAACTATACTTTCAGAATTAATTTTTTTAAAAGGTAACAAAGTCTGTCTCTTCTGGATGTCAGGTTGGTATACTTGTCAGACTTTAGTAAGCATTCTACTGAGATGGTTAGGGGAGAATTTACTAGGTTGGCAGGATTATAGGTGATTTAGGAAACAGTTCCATGAGTTTTATAATGTTGATCATACATGTAACAAATAAAATATTTCAATGTTTAAGAGAAATTTAAAACTGCCAAAAATCAAAATGAAAAACAACTGGACAATAAATAAAAATGTAATAAAACATCACCAGCTGCCTTCTGTAACTGTCTTCTCCTTAACCTTAATGAGGAAGGAGAAGACAAGTAATGCCTGCCAGGACACGTACAGACGGCCCTCTTTTCCCTCAGTGCATCGCAGGATCCCGGAGAATAACTAGTAACCTCATAAATATTTTCTCACCACTGACACAAAATTATCCCTAAACAAAAAGCCTGACAACACTAGTCTGTATTAAATTGATTTTACCTTTGCTTTAGAGCAGGGATACTGAAACAAATGGACTTTGCAAAAGTCATCAGCAACAGCTATCACCTTTCTGTTGTGGGATCGCACCAGAGCATTGATATCTGTCCCATCGGATCCTTCCGGCCAGACACCTTTGATATGGACACACAGGGGTGCAGGAAAGTTAGCCTGAAGAACATCTCTGACGATCCATAGGTTTACTTGATTTTAGAATCTTAGTAATTTTCGTCTGTGTTCAAACTCTTAGTTGCGAACATTTCCCTTACAAATTTCTTAGTGGCTCAACACTTTATCCAAATGATGAAATTTTATCCAAAATCTAATAATAAAAGTAAATCAAAATAGCCTCAAAATGGAAAATTTAAAGATTCAAAGTACTCACTAGTAACCAGCAGGTGGTGCTAATAAATCATTTTAGTTTTAGCTTGACTCACCTCAACAATAAGCTCTTCAATTTTAAAGGTTCTGGTTGGAGGGGAAGTTCTCAGTCACTTGTACAGCAAGGTGCAGAAAGCAAGCCCTAGCACTAATTCTTCAAAGTGGACTCTAGGTAAGCTATGTAAAACTTATACTTTTTTTTTTACTGCCCCCTTTCAGGTAGGCACTTCAAAGAAAACCTTATAGAGATTGTTTCTTGATGGAAATGCATAGGCCATCCACTAATCTACCATGCTGTCCCACAGAATTTTCCTGGAACTATTATCTATGTCCAAAGATAAAACATAGCAAATTTAATTATTCTGAATCATTATGAGGTACTGGTGATCATGGTCAGTATAATTAGCAAAAACCTCTATTAGGCTAGACTACAATTATGGAATATATAAGGGTGGAGATGCTGATCTCCTATGGTTTAATACTACTGTAGACAACAAATATGTTTTTGGTAAATTTGCTAAAACAAGCTGAAAGATTTCTTAATCGACATCTCTTAATAAATTCTGTTTCATTAAAATAACTAAGTTACAAGTACCTATAATGGATTTTTTTTCTTTTTTCTGAGGAAGATTGGCCCTGAGCTAACATCTGTGCCAATCTTCCTCTATTTTGTATTTGGGTCGCTGTCATAACATGGCCACTGATGAGTGGTGTAGGTCTGTGCCTGGGAACCAAACCTAGGCCACTGAAGCGGAGCACCCCAGGGCTGGCCCTGGATTATTTTTCTAATGCACATAGCATAAAGAAATGTTCGGGGGCTGGCCCCGTGTCCGATTGGTTATAGTTCCGTGTGCTCCACTTCAGTGGCACAGGGTTTGTAGGTTTGGACCCCAAGTATGGACCTATTCCACTTATCAGCTATGCTGTGGAGGCATCCCACATACAAAGTAAAGGAAGACTGTCACAGATGTTAGCTCAGGGCTAATCTTCCTCAAGCAAAAAAAGGGGAGGATTGGCAACAGATGTTAGCTCAGGGTGAATCTTCTTCATAAAAAAGGAGAAGTGTTCAGATCTATGATCAGGCTGGAGTAGAGTCTGACTTTCAGAAGGCAGAGATATATAAGGGAAGGGACTAATATTTTGGGTATTGCTTTAGGTATTCATGCTACATCCATATCCAGGATTGTAATCACAGTCATGTGCCGCATAATGATATTTTGGTCAACAGCGGACCACATATATATGATGGCGGTCCCATAAGGTTAGTACCATACAGCCTAGGTGTGTTGTAGGCTATACCATCTAGGTTTGGGTAAGCACACACTGTGATGTTTGCACGACAACATCGCCTAAAGATGCATTTCTTAGAATATATCCTGCTGTTAATCAATGCATGACTATACTGAGTATAACATCTCTTTCTAATTCCTTGCAGACAAGGCTGAATTATTTTAACTTTTCCATTTATCTTCTAACCTTTTTGGAAGGATACCTACAGACTGGGAAAGACAGAAAACTGTCACTGAGGACAGATTTCTAGATATGTCCAAATCATCAGATTAGGAATGATCGCCAAATTTTATCTTTAAATAATGTCTACTAAAAATGCCTTTATATGTCAGCAAATGGTGCTGGGACAACTGGACACCCCCATGTAAAAGAACAACAACTACTGACAAGGATGTGGAGAAACTGAACTCTCGTACGCTGCTGGTGGGAATGTAAATGGTACAGCCACTTCGGAAAACAGTCTGGCAGTTCTTCAAAAGGTTAAACACAGAGTTACCATTTGACCCTGCAATTCCACTTCTAGGTATTTACCCAAGAGAAATGAAAACATGTCTACACAAAAACCTATGTGATTGTTCATAGCAGCATTATTTATAATAGTTGAAATGTGGAAATAACCCAAGTGTCCATCAACTGATGATAAACAAAATGTGGTATATCCATACAATGAAATATTATTCAGCCATAAATGAAGTACTGATACATTCTACAATATGGAATAACCATGAAAACACTATGCGAAAGGAAAGAAGCCAGTATCAATGGATCACATGTTGTATGATTCCATTTATATGAACTATCCAGAATAGGCAAATTGTTAGAGAAAGAAAGATTAGTGGTTGCTGGGGGGTGGCAGAAGGGACGGGTGGGGCATGACTGCTAATAGGCAGAGCGTTTCTTTTTTGGGGTGATGAAAATGTTCTAATTCTAAAGTTAGTGACGACGACTGCACAACTCTCTGAATATGCTAAAACCTCTGTATTGTACACTGTATTATTATTTTAATTTATTCATATTTTTTGTTGTTGTTGAGGAAGATTGTCCCTGAGCTAACATCTGTACCAATCTTCCTCTATTTTGTATGTGGGACACCACCACAGCACGGCTTGATGAGTGGTGTGTAGGTCAGCGCCTGGGATATGAACCCAGAAACCCCAGGCCACCAAAGCAGAGTGTGCGAACTTAACCACTATGCCACTGGGCCGGCCCCTGAATTGTACACTTTCAATAGGTGAATTATATGGTATGTAAATAATATCTCAATAAAGCTATTTTTAAAATGCCTTTATAAATTTAAAAGCTTCAGTTTTCACTTGGAGAAAAAAATAGTAAGGCAATAAGTACTATCATGTAAATTCCTTTCCTTTTAATTGTCTTTCATATTATTGGGAACCAAAAGTCTTCTGGATTCTGCAAAGAGTAAACCTCATATTGGTTCAATACTAATACACTGAATTTCTCTGAATCTGGTATTAATATTGATAACACTAAAGAACACATGTAGACTATTTTTCATTTAGAAATTTAAGCAAGTAAATATTATATATCAAAATCCCACAAACTGCCTTTTCTCATCAGGTGCCATGTTCTTACCAAAGACTTGAAAGCCTAGTACACAGGTGTATGTCGTCCAATCGATGTCCTTACAATCCGATCGATTCCTAATTAGTTTGCAGCCACTTGGAATGTCCCCTTTAAATTTAGAAACAGGAAGTATAATCATAGTGCTTGTGTACAAATGCATTTGAAAGTGCATCTTGATTCAAACTAGCCACGTTTACTTGTATTTATAATCCATACACTGAAAAACATTAAGACACATTTAAAAGGGAAAAGAAAATGTTTACTTTAACAGGGTTTATAGAACTACAAACTGTTTCCCACTGAAGTTGTTCTTTTCTTTAAAAAGCATAAATGCCCATCCATTATACTCCTTCCTGCCTCCAGGAAAAGTTGTTAAATACAAAACATTCAGAGCAGCATCAATCTCCCTGAGTAATTTCTTACGACACATGTCTACACATTAAAATTAATTCATTACTTTCTTGGAGTAGTGAACCACATTTAAGATTCTCACTCCTTAGCTCACAGTAACAGACGCTTTGTCAGGTTAGAGGGGCCAGAATGCATTCTCTGCACAATTCAAATTCCACGCAGCCTGTGCATTTGCGCCCTGACAGACATATCTCAGCCATACATGATCATTCATACTTACAGTACAATATCTCATAGTCTCCCGAGTTAGACATTATATACTTGTTGTCTGGGGACCAGTCAAGGTGTGTGATATAGCTGGAATGTCCCTAGGAAATAACAGATCAACTATTAGAAAGCTTTTAGAGTTTTGAGTGATAAACAGTTTAATAGTTAGCCAAAAGTGTTTTCCGAGTAGCCATTCACCTGGAATTCCTCAAGTACAGAGAGCAGTAACACAGCCTCTAGAGCTGAACAGGGCTCACAGCAGGGCTTTAGTTCTTTTTTACCTATCTTGTTGGAATTCAATGATGCAGGTATGTGAAGATGCCAGTGATACATGAAGAGTTCTGACAGAACTTTGCAACTAAAGAGATCTCACCACAGTGGAAACATTAAGCTGGCCTCTCCACCTAGATACCAACAACAAGCACCTACTGCCTGTGCAGACTTCCAAGAAAGACTGTCTCTTAAACTTGTACCTTAAAGGACACTGCAGTGGATACAACTCAGGCCTTATTTCAAGTCACAGTGTCCCTATTAGAGTGACTTCATTTGTTGAGAATGAAGTATTGGTTCCAGGTTGTGTACAAAGAGTACAGTTTTCCTGGGCTGCTTCCTGAGTATCCATGGTACACCCTGGAGACTGAGGAATACGGCATATATACATAGCCACATGAGGTTTCCTGGGAAAACTCCTATTTCCAGAGAATATTCTGGGGGAAAAGTCACCCAACACTGCACTCCTTCACAACAGCTGGACCCAATACAATCATCTGATTCCTTAAAACATTCCTTAAACAGGAAGACAGTAATCATCTTCTTTTTTTTTTTTTTTTTTTTTTAAAGATTTTATTTTTTCCTTTTTCTCCCCAAAGCCCCCCGGTACATAGTTGTGTATTCTTCGTTGTGGGTCCCTCTAGTTGTGGCATGCGGGACGCTGCCTCAGCGTGGTCCGATGAGCAGTGCCATGTCCGCGCCCAGGATCCGAACCAACGAAACACTGGGCCGCCTGCAGCGGAGCGCGCGAACATAACCACTCGGCCACGGGGCCAGCCCCCAGTAATCATCTTCTGCTTAAATTTTACTAACATTGGGAATTAAAACAAAAAAGCTATTAAATGCTGTATTTCGTTGGCTTAACATGTAAGCATTTGATGATTTCCAATAAACTATAAATAGATAAATCACACAGGTCTTATGGTTTACCAAAGTTGACAGAAATTCAAAATCACTTTTATCTCCTACAGTCTGGGGTAAAACACATTTCATTTCTATTGTACTTTTTGAATGACTAGTTTTCTGCTCACATGGTTTTATTTTTTGAGTCAAAGTACCTTAAGCATGGTTTTTAATGATTGACACAGAGTATTCTAATGATTCCAGTACCCTTCTGAAGTCTAACATGTCCTAAAACCTCTCTGGAGCTACGATCTCCACCACAGTGTTGCAGCAAATACACATAATTATATATTTAAATAAATTTAAATTATATGAAATTGAGAAATGTGAAGCTTCCTGAAATCACCAGAGATTAGGTGTATATTGGAAAACAGATCGGGAATCACTTGCTAGACGCACAGGAAACCTACCAATTTAACAAAAACTCAATTTTCAATGCCAGAAAGATGCATGTGTTTCTTGGATATTTTCTGAATATGGCAGGAGGATGGCATTCACAGTTCCTTTTCACAGTGCACATGGGTCTGATGCCTGGCCCTGGCATTTGGAGAGGCCACACTTCTAAGACAAGAAAACTGCTGCTACATGAATGATTTAACCAGATTAATCATGGCAAAGTCCTCCAAGAAGTACTCATCCTAATGCAGAAGTTCTTACAAATCTTATCCGAATCTTTGTGAAAGTCTTTATTAGCACTACTTAGAAGAGCATCAGAAGCACTGTGTGTATGCATAATATTCATGTAACTCACATGTGTGGTGAACACAGAACATATTTAGAAGGTAAATCAATATAAAATATTCTCAAAAAGGATTCGAGTAGGAAAAGTCCCTAAATTTAGAAAAGACCTTGGGGAAGTTATCAATTCATATTGGAAAGCAAAGAGAATATTTTTTCCTTAGTATGGATTCCAATAAATAAGCAAAGAAAAGATTAAATGCAACTGTTAAGGGTCTATAATGTTACCCTCCCAGACACCATCTCAGAGTGTCCTTGCCACCCCCGCCCCCCCCAGGCCATGGAAGGTACACACACAGCCTGGGGGGAAAATACCCTCAAATATCACCCCAAGGGCACAGACACAATTGGGAGCAAAATCTAGCCTACTTCCTTGAAAAGAAACAGGAAGGTATTCTACGCTGGCACTTTCATTACTTCCATTAAGTAGCTGAATGGTGTAACACAACAATCACAAGTGACAGAGCTCATGACTACTATTCTGGAAAAATCAGAAAGAGTTTAGCTAAATCTTTGTCAGTTAAGTTACATGGAGGCTTGTCATCGATCTACATCAGTAGTTTGCAACCCTGGCTGTATATTAAAATTACCTGGGGAGTTTTTTAAAAAGTAACAAGTACCTAACTGTTTTCCTAAGTAGGTATTCAGGTGTCCCTTCACCATCTAGAGCAGTGCTGTCCAATGGAACTTTCTGCAGTGATGAAAATATGCTCTGCCCAGTCCAGTGCAGCAGCAACTGGACATGTGTGGCTTCCGAGTACTCGAGGTATGGATAGTGCTCCGAGGAACTGAATTGTATTTAATTTCATAAACAGAAAGTTGTGGTTAGCAGCTGCGATGCTGGATAACACAGGTACAGTCCATTTTTTCTCTACTGGTTTGAAATACCTTTTATTATCTAGTACATTTCCATATAAACAGAGATCTATTTCTGAACTCTCTTCTCTGTTCCATTAGTCTATCTGCCTATTTATTCTCAGCCAACTATGATAGTTTTGTGGTATGTGGAAAATTTCGGATGAACTTTAGAACCATTTTATCAAGCTCGTAAATATGTTGAAAATGTAAGACTGCATCAAATTTAGAGAATAATTTGCAGAGAAAAGATAATTTTATCAAGTCTTTTCATCTAGAAACACATTATATCTCTATTTTTTCACTTCTTCGTTTGTCTTCAGCTGTGTTTCATATAGCTTCCTGTGCTTTTCTGGCTAGGTTTATTCTCAAAGCATCTATAGCTTCTGTTGCTACTGCAAATAGGATTTTTTCCTCCATCACATTTTTGATGTGTTTTGTTGGTTTGAGGGAAAGCTGATCTTTAGAGTGTAGACTGTTACTTGCCTGTCCAATCCACATTCTCCCCTAGTGCCCAGCTAAAACACTGTGCTTCCCAACCTCTTTTGTAGCTAGGGGTGCCAGAAGTTACTGAGTGGGGCTTCCAGGAAAACTTTAAGAGAACCGACTTAGGAGGAAGAGTGTCGTCTTTCCCCTTGCTCTGATCCTGTCTTCCTGGAACTAGGGTGTGATGACTGGAGTTGCAGCAGCATCTTATTGAGGATGATGGAGTAGAAAGAAAGAAGGATCCTGAGTCCCTGATGACTTCTTTTAAATGAGAACATATCCCTCATTTGTTTAAGTCACCAGATAATGCAATATAATTCCTGTTACAGTAAGATTGAATCCTACTGCCGTATTGAAATACTGCATTAGTTTCATGGCTTATTTTCTTGGAGATTTCTAGGTAGGCAGTTTGAAAGTCTTTTCCACTTGTCTTTTTGATATATATTTTCAATTACCAAAATCCTGGCAAAAGGAACCCTTAATTTCTACCAGCACTTCTTGCCTATTCTAACAGACTTGTAATGCTTTTTAGTACATCACTGCAACTTCAATATAGTATATCTCCTGGGCTAAGATCTTTTGAATAGCAGTGTTAACAGGTACACAGGAATTTGAGTCTAACAGAAAGCCACTATGTTGGCAATCAGATGCAGAATAAAATAATCTTAATCCCACTGCAAGTAGAATAGAAACTTTAGGTCAATCAGAACACAAACTCTTTCAAAGAAAATATACAACTGTGCATAATTTAAAAACTGTTTTTGAACTTTTTCACAGATTCATGTTAAATGCTGAAAAACACCCCCAGGTATAACGCAGGGCTCATCTTGTTACTGACAATAATGTTGCTGCTCCTGCTCATAACACCTAACACTTACTGAGTACCTTCTCTGAATAGGGCATTTGTTTAGGTGCTTTACATACATTATCAACTCCAAATCTCAGAGCTACCTTAATGCGGATGCCCACTTAGTAAGTGAAGAAGTTTAGGAGGTAGAGAGAGGTTAAGTAGCTTTTCTGAAGTCACATAACAAAGAATTGGTGGAGCTGGAGTTCAAACTCAGGTCAGATGATTCTGGACCAAGTTAAGCACAGCATTTAAATCACAACTATCTTTTACTCATTTCTGTAACACTGAAGATGAGTAGAAAGTAATTCAAAAGTAGCATTTTAAGAAAAGGAATCTATAAGTAATCAAGAACCTTTTTGGTACATTTTCAAAATAGCACAGGAAAAGCTGAGGTAAAGAAACACTGTACTGGAGCTGGCCCCATGTGGAGTGGTTAAGTTTGGCACTCCCCACTTTGGTAGCCCAGTGTTCATGGGTTTGGATCCTCGGCACAGACCTACACCACTCGTCAGCCATGCTGAGGGGGCAACCTACATATAAAATAGAGAAAGACTGGCAAAGATGCTAGCTCAGGTCTTTCAAGCAAAAAAAGAGGAAGACTGGTAGTGAATGTAAGGGCAAATCTTCTTCACTGAAAAAAAGAAACATTGTACTGAAAGCAAGAAAACTACATAAAACCTTGCAACACTCAGGCATCTCTGAGAAGGCAACCAGGAGTCTTCAAAATCTTTTTAACTATAAAATCCTTCTGTCATATTAAATTTTACTTGAGAAGCCCCGTATATAAAGCAAATAAAACCAGATCTATACCAGCACAGCCCCACCCCTAAATCCTAGGGCTGTGCAGGAGACAAGTTAGAGAGAGCTTCTGAATCTAAAGCCTTCTTATAAACTTTTCTATAGCAGCAGTAACAAAACCAAACTGCTTACACACTGAAGATATGATACAATTATGAACCCATGAATCCTAAAGGTCAAACCACTTTTTCTAATATTTAC